ATAGGGTAGTTTTTGAAACGTACACTGTGGAATGTTTTACCGCAGTACGAGTTCACCAAAGTATATATTAACTAATACAGTGTCATGTCAAGTTACTGACCTAAAGAGGAGCTTAAATAATCGCAAATAACATAAGGGCATGCTACTTGTATACGTGGCTGAATGGTCATGTCATGTTCTGCTTTATAGCCAACCCTCGATCTAGATTTAGGATATCGTCTCATTAATTAAATGTTGATATTAATTGCAAGACATTCTAACGTCAAACGCAGAATCAGGATGTGTACCCAATGAAATTTGAGAAAAATAGGAGAGGAATTCCATTCTATCCTGATTTGTTGGTTTTATAGCGATTTAAGGCACATATTAATCAAACAATACTATTACAGAAAAGCCTCCATTGTAGGTGATCGTAACCCCTGGAAATCGAGGTTGTATCTAAGGTACGATGGACATGGAAATACAAGATAAGCACTTTGTTTTAAATAGACGAGACAGTTTCACTGAAAGGGGAATTTTGACGGGTCTCCTAACTTTTGATATTTCGAATTCGCCGGACCACAGAATTGTCTATTGTTAAGGGGTATTAGCATTGTTTAATATATGTTTGGATGTTGTTTGGAACTTGTGTGTATAAAGAAGAGGAGTTTTCGTATTCTGTACATAGCACATGTACATTTTTTTTGGGGGGGGGGGGGACATATACTCATTTTTTTCAGTTTGTTTAATTTACACTATAACAAAAAGCGAGTATTTGACAACATTATGAGTAGGCAGCTACACGCTACTACATGCTCCGCTTTTGCAGATTGGTTTCATCAAGGTTACCTCTGTGCACTGACGGCCTTAGGCCATGTGAATACAGAATCGACCTGAAGACATTTTATAAATTCCATGTACTGTTATAAGCTATAGGAGGCCCATAGATCTTAAAGTGTAGGGTTAGATACGTACCACAAATATAGTAGTATACAGTTGTTAACGGTTTAAGTGAAAATATTGACAAAAGGGATTACGTTATTAGGATCACCGACGATAATGTACACACAGCGGTACTCAGTTATAATTGGAACGGAGGACATTTACACCATTATATATAACGTGTGTCAATCGGCTTCCTCTTCGTGTGGAGGGGGCGGGGGCGGGGAAAGGGGAAGGGGCGGGGGGGGGAGGGGGGGTCTTCAATCCAGAATACAAAACTCATTGCTGTTTTCAATAAGATAGCTCTGTCGGGTAGTGCGATAATATAATGATCTGGAGTCAATGTGTCGAATCCTGGTCAAGCCCCCTCGAAATGTTACACTCCTAGCATTGTTGTGACTTACATTTTGTCTAATTCTTCTATATTGTTTTCATTCAATTCTCACAAGGTATGGTTTTCCGTCCAGAAGTGGTGTATCTAAGCTATAGTCCTGCCGGAAAAGTCAGTATCGCAGTGTGAAGTGACAGTTTTTGGCAGTGGTACGGTGTATCGCTCAGATACGTCAATAATACCCGAGAGCTGGAAATGGTACATTGTAACAACACGTCACAAGATTTTCAAATTTCTCTAACAAAGAACTTGAGTATGCTAATTTTCTATTCTTACAAAGATATATTATACTAGATTCAAGCAAGATATATAAATTTGCCGAAGTAATAATATTACTTTTGATTTTACTGTTGGTCACGTTTAGGTCAAGAAAGCTATACTTCCTTCCACATTCTTTTGAAATACCTCCAAAATGACCCCACGGAGAGATAGCATAAGCATACAAGTAGGCACATCTTGGTGTTTTTCAGTAGCGATCCCAAACGACAGCTAGAAGGCGGAACAGTGCCCTTAGTAAGGCGGTTACCATGTTTCACGAGGACGAATAATCATGTTTCCCTACTGTAGGGGGGGGGGGGGGGGGGGGGGGGGGGTGTCATGATGTTTTGCTGCCCGTCAAATGACCAGTATCATCCAATCACACACGCTGTTATAAAGCTGAGCTATACTAATCTGTGTAGTAAGGTTAACGTCCAGTCAACAGTCACGTGTGTGTTCTATATATGTACAGTAATATCGTTATGTTAATAAAACTAGATATATCTATTCCAAAAATAAATCATGAAGGCATTGGTAAAGACTGATAACATATTGTCACGTAATGAAATTTAAACAGTGCCGCAATTTCAAAACAAAGCGGACATGGAAAGTAAAAATCACCTACCGATGATACTATATAACTAGGGGGAAAGACGGCAGGAACACTCGCGATACATATTTCCTTAAAATAACATTTTTATTGTCACGATTAATTTGTTAGTATGAGAAATCATTATCCTATTTATTTTTATTAAATGTATTATGCCTCACTTTTAACTAAGACCAGGACAGAATCTACATGTTGTGGGCTTCCAATTTCCTGTTGTTGTTTTTTTCGAAAGATATCTAAAAGGAAATTGTACAGTGCAATTTCTGAAAAAAATCAATTCATTGAATAATAAACAAATTAGACATTTAAACAATTAGATAGAGGAAATTGGAAATACATATACATTCTATCTGATCTACGCAAGATATTAAGTTACAAGAATGAACAAGGGACAGTGATATTTACTAAAGTAAGATATTTTGTAATGCTGAAAACTTTTCAAAAAATAAAATAAAAAAATATATTTAGTTTTGTCATAATGGACCCTCAAAATAACCATATCCGACCTTGTTTCAGGAGTGATACATATACAAGAGCCTGTCTTATCAAAAAAAATATTTTTTTTCTCAGATCAATAAATCATATTCTTACATACATTTAAAGCCGTATTTGTCATTACTCCTGGAATCCGATTTATATAGGCATTATTTCTCTTGGGTCAGTCTACTATAGCAGATAAGATTCAAGATTGAACAGGCTTTCTGTTTCATATAGGTCTGATCTCGTCAGGAATAAAAGGGTTTGAACAAGTTCTATTTCGTAATGACCACAGAAAAGAATAGTATAGGCAGCTCTGATATCTCAAACGAAAATTGCAGATCTAATTCTATAATGGCGTTTTAAGTGAAGTTGTGTGGGGTTATTTGTACGAGGTTCGGGAACGACCTTGACGGTGGTATTTAACAGCTCGACTCGCCTTACACGTTCTACAGTGTGTAATAATAGTCGGTTGTCGTTTATATGCCTTTATAATGGACACGTGCAGACTGTAAACAGCGCAATGTTTGATGTTCACTTCAATGGGTTTTCGTAGAATTGAATATCTTGTTTAAAGCCGTCGAATAGGCAATGGTTATTATGGCAAGCCAAGTTGTCATTTATTCATGGAGCAATGTTGATCCAGTACTTAACCAAATTATATAAGATATCTTATATATTATATAAGATATCTTATAAAAGATATAAGATATCTTATAAAAGATATAAGATATCTCATAAACTTAAAATAAGATATCTTATATGTTTATAAGATATCTCATATGTTTATAAGATATCTTATATAATATATAAGATATCTTATATCTTTTATGAGATATCTTATAAAGAAAGGTAAATAAGATATCTTATAAAATATATAAGATATCTCATTTATTATATAAGATATCTTATAAAGTATGTAGGATATCTCATAAAGTATATAAGATATCTTATATAATTAAATAAGATATCTTATATAATTTGGTTAAGTACTGGATCAACATTGCTCCATGCATAAATGACAACTTGGCTTGCCATAGGTTATATCTCCTGTCGGTCAGTCACACGACCCCCCTCCCTCCATTCAGAAATACCATTTTGGTTCAAGTATGATATTGTATTAATTTTCGCACTCTACTCGGCTATAGTTTTTACTTAAAATTTGATTTTATATACAATTGACATGTACGCTATCACGCGTGATGAGGTCAATAAAGTAATTATAATCATAGCAATGGTGGATCTATTGGCGGTTTCTTAACTCCAGGAACCACAGAATAAAGATCTTGGGACAGTGGAATGTTCTCCCACAAACAGACATTTTTCTGAGTTTCAGGAACCACAGAATTATGGATCTAGGATTAGTGTTCTCCCACAAACAGCCATTTTTCCTGAGTTTCAGAACCACAGAATAAGGATTAGGAACAAGGGAAATTTCTCCCACAAACGGTCATTTTTCTCACTTACTTTAAAATTCTAAATACATCTTGCTTTGTCTTTGGACGCCATATATATACTACAATGCAGTAAACGTGTAAGGCTAGGAGGGAGAGGGGAGGGGAGCCTTCCGCAACCCAACCAGTCTGTCGAGCGCTTGTGATCAGAAAGGGAAATAGCCAAAGATAGATAGGGG